TTCTATGATTCTATTCTATGATCTTGAGAAGTGTAACAATCAATCAAGCAAAACATGATATTTTCATCCCTTCATTCATATATCTGGGTTATTAATCATGTTCGAATTTACTGTTACCCAGTTTGACCCCATGCTGCTACTGGCTATGTACTGCTCCCAAACAGTGCTGCTCAATCCATTAGGCATCTTGTACAAACACAACTAGCTTGCAGTGAAACTTGTAAACAGAACCTAGCTTGATACTTTCATTTACAGGAGCCAAAGGCAACGAGGAGCTCAAATGCATCAACTTGAGAAACAGCAGTCAAAACAAACCAGTTACTTAGGCATACAAATTCTCTGCAGAGGAAAGTTTAATGAAACAAGTGAAAAAATCTAGCCAGAGGGATGAGAGAGCAGATGCCAGAAGCAGCAAGTCAGGGAAAGGGAACACAACCTCAGCAGGGGCTAACGTATGACATATAACAGAAAGCCAGAAAGGGAGAATAACTATTCCACATTACATTTCATGGAGAAGAGAGATCCAGAAGAAAGATACAGAAAGAGTCATAATCTTGGCCATCACAAACCTAATCGCAGCTGCATATGCTATTAGGAATGTAGGTCTAATGTCTTCAACTACTGAACCAGTATATGCCAAAAACTTGCCTACATTTTCCACTTATACCTGCTAGGCTAACAGAAATATTCTCTCCCCCTAACAAACCTTGTTTGTCATATGTATCTAGACAGTCACAGCTACAATATGAGGACTAATTAAACCATGGAACAAGATGTTAAAGTAAGTCATGCAGAGAATTTAAAATCTGGCAGCTCCAGGCGTAACTTAGAGAAGCAACGTTATTCATCACAGTGCTTTATTCAAAGGTAACTGTATCCGTAACTACGACAGATCTGACTTTTAAATACAGTCACTGACAGTGGTAGTGAAGCAGGTGGTCAATCATATCGGTATAATAAAACTCAGAAAAGACTAAAATGAATTAGTTTTGACACTGATTTTAAGAAATAATGCAAGTGAAAAGTTACACATAGTCATAGTGAGGAAAAGGCCAAGGTACTTAATGCCACCTTTGCCCAGTCTTTAGTAAGACCAGCTGTTCTCCAGGTACTCAGCCCCCTGAGACAGGGACAAGGAGCAGAATGAATCTCCCATAATATAAGGCAAAATGGTTAGCGACCTGCTACATCACTTAAACACAGACAAGTCTATGGGGCTGGAAGGGATCCACTCAAGGATGCTGAGGGAGCTGGCAGAAGCGCTCACCAAGCTGCCTTCCATCATCTATCAGCAGTCCTGGCTAACTGGGGACGTTCCAGTTGACTGGAAGTTGGCCATTGTCATGGCAGTTTATAAGAAGGGCCGGAAGGAACTGGGGAGATACAGGTCGGTCAGTCTGACCTCAGTGCCAGGGATCAGATTTTGGTTGACAGATGGCTGAATATGAACCAGCAGTTTGGCCAAGGTGGCCAACAGCATCCTGGCTTGTATCAGTAACAGCGTGGCCAGCAGGACTAGGGAAGTGATTGTCCCCCTGTACTGGGCACTGGTGAGGCTGCAACTCGAATCCTGTGTTCAGTTGAATGAAATGAATCCTGTGCTCAGTTCTGGGCCCCTCACTACAAGAAGGACATTGAGAGGTTGGAGCATGTCCAGAGGAGGGAACGGAGCTGGGGAAGGGTCTGGAGCACAAGTCCTGTGAGGAGCAGCTGAGGGAGCTGGGGGTGTTCAGCCTGGAGAAGAGGAGGCTCAGGGGAGACCTTATCGCTCTTTACAGCTGCCTGAGAGGAGAGTGCAGAGAGGTAAGGAAGGTCTCTTCTCCCAAATGACAAGTGAAAATGGCCTCAAATTGCACCAGGGGAGGTTAAGATCAGATATTACGAAAAATTTCTTCACTGAAAGGGCTGTCAGGCATTGGAACGGGCTGCCCAGGGAAGTGGTGAGCCACCAGCCCCGGAGGGATTTAAAAAGACGTGTAGATGAGGTGCTTAGGGACATCATTTAGTGGTGGACTTGGCAGTATTAGGTTAACGATTGAACTTGATGACCTTGAAGATCTTTTCCAACCTGAAAGATTCTATGATAACAACAATTATATTGTCTGAAGTGTCAGTGTAAAGATACTAGTGTTAAAATACTCCAGTAAGTATGCTACATCACACATCAACAAGAGACAACATTGCACACGTATTTTTGAATGTGAAATGGTTTTAGTCCACAAAGATGTATTTGCTCTCTCTTCTCATGTCTACTATCAACAAAGTATTATTAGTAAGATTAAAACGTGTATCAATTCCTTCCTTCAGAAAAGTGTAACAGTCACTTGGCAATTTCAGAAAAAAAAGAGAGATGGAGTGAGTGAGTGAGTGAGTGTGTCTGAAGACAGACACACAAATTCTGCCACAAAGGACAATATTAAAGACAGACTAACTTCATTTCACTCATGTTATTATTCACACATTCCATTTACTTGAAATAAATAGATGTATTTTTCCATCCAAAATCTACTGACACAAGAGACTGCTGAATGGTGGTAAAGTTTTGGATTTCTTATGGAAAATATACTCATTTTACCCCAAAGATTGCATTGATACTGACAAAGTGCTTAAAAGTAATTCCTTTTGGAAAGAAAAAAAGACACGCACAACCCTGCCCCTCCCCTTCCCCCTGCAAAGCACCACCCCAGAATTTAGACATACCTAGTAAATTCCTGTGATTTTTTTAACAGAAGTGCAGCTGCAAATCATAGTTTTGGGGAAATGTGATATAGAAAAGCAAGGGTGATAAAGGTGTTAGCTGACTGCATAATAGATATTGTTCTATGGAGTCTGAACAACAACAGGCAGTGTAAGGGGGGGAGGGGGAGGTTAGCTGATGAAAAACAAACAAACAAACAAACAAATCCAGCAAATGGAATGGTAAGAGATTTTACAAAAGCACCATGTAACATAACAGCATGATAGGAAGGGTGAGAATGAAACTGGAAATGGTATTCTGAGGAAACTAGAGCCCAAGAAAGAGGCTGTAAGAAAAGAAATAGTGCTTGCTGAGCACACAAACCATGGGGACTAGGTTGACCGGCAGGAAAGATCTGCTGAAAATACATATTATGCCGAATTCGATGTACAGTTTTCATATGGGAAAGTGTTAGGATGCAAGAAAAGATGTATTTGGCATGGACAGGATGCAGAAGAGAAAATAATGATTTATATACATTATGTGAGTACACAATAAGAAAATAAAATGCTAGGTAGCAGTAGCTATACTGAAATCAATACCAGCATTAATAAATCAGTATTACTACACTGAATTTCCTTCACACGTACAAAATTGGTGACATTTGAAGTTCTAAAGTCTTTTGTCATAATGCAGATGATGACTACCACAAGCATTCATTTCCATTTTCAGATACCTCAACTCTACAAGTGCAGCAGATATAGTAAACTTACATTTTTGAAGAGCTGTTCTGCAAGTTCTCTAACATGTTTTATCATTTTCGGTGGATTACCTTCCTCAGCTTTAATTCTTTCGACTTCAAAGGCTACCAACTTTAGAACAAAACAAAAGAATCAAAACGTTGATAATTCAATTAATTCCCCCCCCACCCCCCCCCCATTTAAATTATGAAATGTTAATCTTAAATTGAAACTGAACAAAGAAAACTAAACACTGAAAAATGTGCAGCATCATGTTGCTCTGGAACAGACATTTTCACCGTCTTACAGAGCTTGTTACTAGGTTTTATAGTCCAACCTAGCAAGGAAAGTCCTACATAGCCAAAACATTCCTTTAGCATTTCTAACACCACAATCCATATTTCTTATATCTACTACTACTATGCAGAATTAATACCAAACTCTATTTGTACTCCACAGTCAAATAAAAACCAGCAAAGTAAAAATATGGCATTACTTTTTAAAAGAAAAAATGCTTGTCCCAGTTTATAATGTTGGGTATGTATTTAATTTAATCTTTCTCAAATACTTTTTCAATGTTTCTAAGAATATAATTAAGTTACTCAAAATAATTCTGTACTAGCATATGTGATGCATTATGAAGTTCCAAACCTGACAATAGGAACAGCATTACCATGATTTATACAATTGTTTAACTTCACACATACGAGCAGGGCCCAATTTTATGGAAATAAGTTAGAAATTGTGCTTAGTAGAAAATTACAATTGAGCAGTTTAGTATAAACTTTATAGATTAAACAGGGAGGATTCAGAAGCATTACAACAGTTGTTCATGTGCAGAAATATCATAGGTCCATTTTAATTTCCTCAGGAGCACAGAAACAGTTTTCACCTCATCAAAAAGATCACAGGCTCTGAAAGGAGGACCCCTCTCTGACACAAAACCAGCAAATGCCATTCCATTGAGAACTTTGGTTAGGAAGTCATTCTCAACCAAGCCTCGCTGACCCAGGAAAGCTGCCTGCAATACAGACAGGAAAAAAACATGCATTTTACAGGATCAAAACTACAATCACCTATGTCCTAGCAGTTAAACATTCTCACCAGCTTACAGTAACACATGCTACTTTCTAGTTAAATCTTTTATATCACCTAGTACTTTTTTATACTTAAAGTCAAGAGAGATGCGACAGGAAGTTATGTGCACACATTTTACAAATCTCACAGGCAATAGTAGAATACAAGCATTTTCCAGTATTGTTTTCTAAATACATACATCATTTACAAAATTCCTTCATGTTTCCTCAAATGTTTCTTTATATTAAACTTTAATGTTGACTTAGTTTCATGTTTCATCGCTGGCCCTGCAATTAGTCCCACTAAAATGTATTGACACAGTGCTATGTCAAGATGATATGCTTGTCACACGTGGGCGATTTTACTTTTTTAAACTTTACCACTTGTTCAAAAGGCAAGCCCATGGGAATAACGTGACACAAAACAAATACTAACTAGATACACAACTGCTTCTCTTTTACCTTATGGAAATGAATTACTGGCTCGGCATGAATTCTGATCAGCTGAAGACATGACCGGTATCCTTGGAAAAGTTGTGCAAATAGCCTAAGGAAGATTGCTCGCACTTCTTTATCCTGTAAGCAGTAATCGAACACGCTGTCAAAACACATTCACAATCTAACCTTCTGCACACTCTGTGTGAAGCTACCTGAGAACGCCTACAAGTCCATGAAACAGTGCAGCAGTGCAGCATGTGACGTGGAGATACTTGTACCCATGAAGTTATCTCACAGAGGCTGCAGTTCCACTGTCCTCAGGCAGCAACGCTACATTCAGTACACATCCACCCCTTTACTCCTGCTGCTCTTTTCTAGGCCTGCACGACAGCCCCTGGGCCACGCGAGTGTAACTGTTGGGGTGGTCATGAGAACCACATGAAGGGACTGCCATGAGAGAAAACTGATGGGAAATAAAGGAAAGAGGGTATTTCAGCTGGATTGTTCCCTACAATAAACGTGGCTCTGCAGCACGCCACAAGCAGTGTCACCGGCGTGGGCAGGGGCAGCAGGGAATCACGGGAGCGTAAGCTGGCATTGCCGATTATGTGGGACCAGGCTCAGAGCATCACAGGCATGGCACCACCGCAGTCATCCTCGGTGGCTCTGCCAGCTGAGGAGGCTGCTCTGAGTTAGCTGTCTTCCAACTCACGACTTCGTTTGCCAATCAACTCCAGACAAAATAAGCCAGGGTTAGTTTAAAAAGTTTAAAATAGTAGATCTTTAAAGTCCTGGTTTATTTTGATTTAGATGAGTAAGAGAGGGCTTACATAAACATCTACAGGTTTATGGAAATGATGTGAACAGCTGGGGGCAGACTTGGGGCAGTGACATCTTCAGCTGGCCCACATGGAACGAAAGACTGATCAAATCCTGCGCCGCCCATGTTATTTTACCTTAGCTCAGGTACCTACTCAGACTGCTGCCACACCTAAAACCTCAGGTCCTAAAAATTGGTTTAGGGTGTCTCAAAGGACTTCTAAAACAAACTCCAAAAGTTACAAGCAGCAAAGAATACTAGATTAACAAATCGGGTAAAAGCCGAGCATTTATCAACAAGCAAATATACAATCTAAATAAGGTAAAGCTTGTAATGACTTTTTAAAAGTTTAGGTATATACAAGATTTTATAAAGCTGTCCCGATGGAATATTTTCCTAGATGTCTCTTATTCTTCTCCAGAACATGATTGGTGTTAACCTATTTTTAACTTAATTTTGTAAGGGTTCACTTTATTGAGAGATATTCACATTTTCTTTGTGTCCAGGCTGCTCTCTCACATTTTAACAGGTACATTTGCACCCCGTCTCTTTGAACTACTTGAAAACATGGTTGTTGCTTTCAGATTTAACATAATTCTGATTTTGATACAAAATTATATTAATTTACAATTTCATATAAAGTGAGATCTTAGCTGAATTTTCTTGTTAGTCTAGACGACATTTTCTGTCTTCAGCAATGATAAAAAACAATCTTAATTCAAGAAATAAGAACAAGAAATACATTATATCACTTCAGAGTTTTATGGTTTTGAACACACCGACAGAAAAAAAAACCTGGAAGTGTGTTCTTAAATTGAATTTGCTTTTGGATATTAGTTTGGACTACCAACTCATGTTCAATTCTGGACACTTCTACAGGCTAAAAACGGTAGCAGCTTTACCAAGTTGTTAAGTTATCATGGCTTCACAATTTACTTTAATCTAAATTAACCAGATTTTAGTAGAAAAGTTTCTATGGACTTTTTATTATAGACAATTACATACTGTTTCATTCAGGTTCTTTAAAGGCAAATCCAATATTAAAAGTCATACAGCTCCTTTCCCAGTATGTCTAAGTACACAATGCCATGTTATTATTGTAAAACCAGTGACTTGTTTCGCTGACACAGCTACCACTCCTATCTTTACTTGTATTTACTCTGAAATCTGGTTCATGAATGAGATTTTTCATGTTTGATTTATTTTTCCTTGGGAATGTGAGGTCTCTATAAGAGAACTCAATTTTAACTTTTACACATACACGCACAAAAAGGTCTGTTTGTCCACTCATATAAATTCTGCAGCTTTACCGGTCTACAGAACAGGAGGCACAGATTTAACTCAATAGACAGCAATATTAAAAGAAAGTAAGGTGCTTCCATATTAATACAAATATGTTTATAAAAACTTCTAACCCATTACAATCCTATTAGAGGGCAAAATGCAAAGTCCAATGGCACTTCTTTGCTCCACCAATAATACTATAAGGGACATGGAAAAGAAACCACGAGGTAGAAGCTCTCAAAAGAAAGTTAGTCTAAAATTTCAACAGTTTTCCACTTAAGAAAGTCAGACATAACACAGAAATCTTACCAGCATTTTTGAGTGTGATAAAGCAGTTCGTGGGGGAGGGAATGCATAATCTGCTGTTTCCAAATCAGGATGCAAAACCTAGAGAATTTTTTAAACAAAATTTTTTCCCCTCATTTTCCTGAGGAAAAGACATTATTTTTTTCTTCTTTTTCAAATTAATATTCACTGATCTTAAGTACCTCAAACAATAGACTGAGTTAAATTATCAAGACTCTATGGAAATAAAGGTGGGATTAATTTCTCTGGTTCAGATTTCTATAAACCAGCTAGTTATAAAAAACTTCTATTATAGTCAATGAAGCTAATCAATTTAGTTAGGGATTTTAGAGTTGATTCATCTCAAAGATTAACAGACAGAAAATTCTCCTCTAGGATAAGAGATTTGTTTAGAACCACCAAATAAGGCATTTTCTAACTTATAATAGTAAAAAGGCAAACTGAACTATGTTTTTTGGCGATTCCCTAATGTAGAATGAATCAATTATTAAATATTGATATAGGAACATAATACAAATAAACTTTGAGACCAATTTGTTATTCTTCTCTTAAACTTCAAGACAATGTACAGTTGAAATTAATTTATGAAAACAGAAAAGAAGCTGAAATGAATAATAACAATGCTGGTCTAAAACTGAGGTTGAACTCATTAAAAAAATCATTATTAGGAAGGAAAAACTACTAACTTCCTCTTGAATAGTGTAAAAAACTTTTAGTAGTAAATCACTGATGATACTAACTCTAACTTCAGATAGCAAATTCTTCTAAAACCAGGAATGTTAGCAGGAATCTTAGCTTTAAATTTCACATTTACAGTGTGTTTGAAAGCGATTTAATATTGAAATTAATTTTTATTCTTTAAAAACAGGTGAGGGTAACAAATGGGGTTTGTATCAAAACATACTAGAGAAAGTGCCATTTGAGTCTGATGTAGCAGTGGCTCTGGCAGCTGAGAAAGATGAATACATTCAGGAATTTTAATTGTGCCTCCATCCAGGTCTGCTATGATTACATCTAACTGCAAGGAACAAACAAAATATTATCGGTAGTGCATGCCTACTGTGAGCATAGTTTAAAAACACAACAGTTCAAATTTAATGATCTGCACATAACTTAAAATAAACACATTAAACCAGTATTAACTTTAATGTTTAGAACACTTTTGATAATTGAAATACTTCAAATACTTCATATTACTGGTGCTAGTTGTGAAAAATGAATGTAAAACAAAGAAAGTGAAACTAGGCCAAACTTTCAAAAGTGACTTCTTTTTGTGGATGTTCCAGGTCTGTGTTCAGTGATTTGAGATATCTGATATGGTGTTTGCAAAAGGACACAGTGATGACTACTCTAAGTAAAATTACATGTGTAGCCCCACATGCTTAAAAATTAAGGACCCATTTGAAAATCTTAAGTGAATTGTTCAAACTCACAACAAAGCTGGAAATTGATCCATTCCTTCCCATCCTGCACTAGAATTCAATAATCTCCCTCCTCTACTTTACAGTCTAAGGTATTTAGAGAACTGATGCTTTTTCTTTTTTTCTCCTCCTGTTCGTCTTGCCTTCTACAGTAACATTTTTAAAGCGTATGTAATCTTCATATAAACATCTCTGAAGCACGGAAAATCTCTGCACCTAAACATCACAAATGACACTGTGACTCTGAAGATGCTGGGCAGACATACTTACAAGCTCGTGAATATCATTACGAAAGACAGAATGTACGCCAATTATGAAAGGTGTCGGTGAGCTCAGAACTTCCAGTAGCTGTGCAGGAAGAATTGGAATATAGGGATAACTGTGAAAAGAATAAATGGAATAAAATAAAAGCTCCTGACTACCCCTTCACATAGGGCAGCATTTTTCTTAAAAAAAATCCCAACAACAACAAAACCAAAACCACTTTCCAGCTACATATTAAATTTACTAGAAATACCTGTATTTAAAATGCAGAAGATGAAAGTATTTATTAAATGCTTCTTTATAAAGTGTGATGCTCTTAAAATATCTATCATTTAAACTCTAGAAATTATTATATTATAGGGTCTACAATTTATTGTAAACCAGTGTATTTTGCAAAATAACAAGAAATGTATTTGTGACATTTATGTTACATGGACATTGTATTTGTCTACAACTTTTACATAATTAGGAACGTTAGAGCTATGCATAATATTTCCGTTATAAAAAGTTGGCTAGTTTTTAGCCAGACACCTACAATTCAGCCGTTGATAAAATGCCATTAATAAGGAATCTTTAAATTAAATCTTTTGCTTTGATATTGAAATGTCAACTAAACATTATGTATAGCATTCTATACATCAGTACTTGATTTGACAATTTAAAACAAGTAAGGGTTTTCAAAGCAACATGAAAATCTCAATCTAAATTATCAATACATTTCAAGACCTAATTTATAAAAATTTACATTCATTACAATTTTAACATTAAGAAACATACTTCATAACTCATTTTCAATCTTTTTTCCTTCTTCTATATTAAAATGAAGCCCATCTCTGAAATATTTTGAAGAAAAATGTGCTACTATAATATAAGCATCCTTTAAAACAGATGAATCAGAATTAGATCAGAATCAGAATCTTTTCTGCCTAAAAAAACCAAGTAACTTGGCATTAAGTTTTCCATTTCAAAACACTGGATTCAGATGTGGCTTCTTAGAGGATCAATTTGTTCATTTAAATTCATTCTCTGTTGGACATTCGTCAGTGACTTAGAACTGTGATACAAGCTAGTGCAGATGTTATCTTAGAACCACACAATCTTTTGGGTTGTAAAGGGCCTCAGGAGATCATTTAGTCCAACCTTCTGCTCAAAGCAGGGTCAAGACTGGGTCCAGATCAAGTTGCCTCAGGCTCTGTCCTGCTGGGCCCTGAAAACCTACAGGGCTGGAAGCACCACAGGCTCTGTTCCACAGCTTGGTTATAATAAAACATGTTTTCCTTGCATCCAGTCAGCAATCTCCCTCTCCCGTTTTGGTTTATTACCTCAATCTCTCCTTCTCCTGCCGCACACATCCCCTCTTACTTACAGGCAGGCTGTTACTATATTTCCCCCGTAACTTTTCCATGCATTTACTCATGGATCATCACTATCAAGTTGTACTGTCCAACTGATGTTGTGGGTAGGGTTTGTATTTGTAAGTAGGGTGTTTCTCCTTCAATCGTTTCCACTGCCATGACACAATGAGACTTTTATTAATGACGTGTACAGACCACCACTTGTATATAAGATCATGAAAACCTTTGCTTATTTGAACAAACATAGCACACATCTTTTGCTACGGACAATGTAAGTTATGAGTTCGAAATTAAGTCACAGAGTTTCAAGATTCAAAACTCAACTCACCTATATTTGAGAGGAAACATCAAAGACTCTAGAGCCCTACATGCATCACTGAGCCTCTGAAAACTTGCAGAGTGAAAGAGAACTTTATTTTCTGTAAGCACGGCACAGAACAAGCTGAGTACATTTTGGATTCCTTAAAAAAAATAAAAGAGAGAGAACTGTAACAATGTGGCAAAGAATCAAAATGGCACTAAAATGTATCATTTTCTGGAGGAATTTTCAAAAAGCATATGATAAATGCATAAATTGCCAAACTTCAAGTGCTTCTACATTTTAACTAGTGCAGCTTCCTTTCTATTTCACAGGTTTCCAAAATACTATCTCAATGTATTTCTACATATCAAATACATCGTATTACACCTCCCTTTCAATACGGCTTTTAAGGATTTCCTCTTCTCAGCACAAACCCCAGCAATGCATAATAATGACTTCAAACAGCATTGTGTCTATCTTCTGCACAGCCTTCTGTCTATCTAGAATTTAATTCTGGTCACTGAGCCAGGCTTAACTGCTAAACCTTTATGTACCTCTGGGGCCAGGGAGGGAATCATACTGCCAAGCTCAAAAGAAAAGGACAAAGACTTGCTAGTCAATACATTCATACTTCATCCATGGAGAGCATTCTAGAAGTCACAAAGTTAAAAAGGGGCAGTAAGAGTGTACCTGTGGTTAGAAGGATATTTTAAAGAGCTGACTGTTGAAACAAGCCCCACTAGATTTAGGGTAAGACTCATGAATCAGATGATGGTTTTGTGTTTTTTTTTTTTTTTTTTAAAGACAATATAATTTACCTAGGAGACAAAGCCATGTGCTTTCAGGGAAAACCAAAAATACATTTCCTTCTTTAAAACAAAGTCTCATCCTGAGAAGCAGACGTTTCTCAGATATGCGAGATATGCTGAAATTTATGAAATTTCCTGAAATATGCTGGAATGTATGATCCTTCCCTGAGGACATAGCTTGTGTTATCAGTAAGACAGTCTGTATTACCTTTACAAAGCTATTGTTTATCTTACAACAATCTTCCCAGTAAGAAGTGGGACTGAGAGCCATTATATTCATGTGATAATTAACACTTTGTTTTGCTTAAGTAATTTTTGTTACATGTTATGACAAATCTTTTTTTTCCTACGATGTATGACAATTTACTTTGCTGGAGTGGATCTTGGTTCATAAATATAAAGGGACAAGGATTCAGAAAGGGTTGCTGTGAAAAGGATTTAGGATGACCAAGTCAGTAACACAACACCTTGTACTTTCCAACTCCATTCTCCAAGAACCCTAAGCACAGACTCAGGAAATCAAAGGCAGAGACTTGAGAGGACTCAAGGACAGAAGGCTTTGTTGTAACACTGAGTTACTGTTGCAAATATTTGCTACTGTATTCAGTGGTATAATTGATACTGTGCTAGTATAAAAGAAACTGCTTTGTAATATACAATGCAAGGACAGTGTTAAAAAAAAGAAATCAAACTGGTTCATTTCTGGTTTTCATCAAGCTACTCTTCATGTGAATGAAATAGCACTCGTCAGTGAATGGTTAGAAACTAACAAAATACCACCCTTTCTTGTGCATGTATGTATATATTTGAACACAAATTTCAAAACTGCTGTTTGAAAAAAAAAAAAAAAACCCCAAACACTCTAGGAGATTAAAAACTTGAACTGCCCATTTTATGCAAAACTGCCCTAGTTCCTTTCCCAGATGATTTTAAAGATTGTTTTGAAGTATACTTTTTGTTCTAAACTAAGTTTAGTTTTCAAGACCTTTTTTAATGCCATTTCATTCCACACCAAATATCTTCAGACACTTAGGAATATATTACTTTAAACATCTGATACTTTTTTTATATAATCAGATACTAAAGTTCTCAAACAATCCTCTGTAACTCTATAATGTTCTGGCAGGTATCACTGAGGAAAATAACACCTAAAAAACTCACAAAAATTCACAACATTTGGTACAACTAAATTTTTTAGATGTCCCTCTTGTGATCAAACTATCTATAACTAAAAATTCTTGAAAGAGATGGTTTTCCCTTCTGCACATCTTAAAACTGCAAGAAGTTCTGTTTAAACGGTATTTTACAAATAATTACAACATTCCTTTACTGACAGTGTTCAATTTAAATCAAGCTGCATTAAAAGAATTAGCTCTTTTTCTATATTATTTTTTTGTTGTGGATTATGATGATTCAAGAGTCTAGAAGGAGTATCTTAATTCTAATACCTTTAAAAGCCCTAAAACTTATCCAGTATCATCAGTTTTCACTTGAAACCTCTGAATATATGCTTCCTCAACAGTTATCAAAACAATACATAATCCTCAACAGCGTATAACTGAATACTTAAAAATTAAAAAGTTATTAAAAAAAAAAGTGGAAATCAAGATTTTGCTTATGTACATGAGGACACCTACAAGCATTTAATAGTATTTGAACACTGGCCTTCTGAAACATTGTGCATGAAACACCAACTTTCTAGTGTTGATACTTGTCTGTGAAGCCAAACCAAAATATTAGTTACACTGATTTTTTTTTTTGGTGTTCCTATTAAAGAAGTGGGCAACACATTGGCTGTAAAGCACAAGATCACACAGTCTCCAAGGGACTGCTAAAACTATTCTAGAGGTAATAGAGGTAATCTTAATGCTCATATACAGCATTAACCTGTATGTTTTAGATTTTTCTCTTTACCACTCTAAGAAATGGATTTTGGTGTCTTCAATTTATAGAAAATTTTGGATGTCTAGTCAGTGTAATTTTTTTTTTTTCTTGCTATTTTTTCCCAATAGTTTCTTTCAAGAGCCCACGTTCATGTACACTACTGTTAGAAGACAGGTCAAAAGTCAGCACTGAAGTTTGATTTTCTACTTCTTCAACTTTCTAATAGAGTATGTTCTTGGTAACTAGAAAAATGAGGTCACCATTTCTGTAAACATCTCAGGGGTGAAGAAAAGTACAGCACCAACAGGTCTGACACCTGAAGTTAACTATAGTAAGCCTGGAGTTCACAAGTTCTACCTTCCTCCCAAGGTGCTATTGGAGGACGAAGACACTCAAAAGTCAACACTAACTGGAATAACATGAAGAACTAAACCAGTGTGCCTTTTTAAAAAATATTTAAACTATTAAGCAGTGATGATACAGTTTGTGAAGCTTTCATAATTTCACTGGGGAAATTAGGCCAGTTTTGCTGCACAATACTGGCCACAGACAAAGCTTCAGTTTGTACTTCACAAAGGCATTCTCACTGCAGTTTAATCAGCACCAATACAAATTGATATTTAAGATGACTATTCTTTGCAACTATCTCCCATGTATAAACTTGATGCCACACAGAGGAATATTTACTGCAACATTTTTTACTACATTCTGCTAGTTAAGTCTCTCAGGTGGTCGTTACATTTTAACTGGCCATGGAAGACGAATCTGAAGTGCTGCTGTATTATGAATGGGCCAGATGTAGCCCAGGCTTGGCTGAGTTAGACAAAAGCATTGCTTTATTTGCGGTACTTATCAAAGTGACCAAAATTGAGAGCATGTGAACACATCTCGCTCGTAAATCACTAGGTCTTGTAAGGACTAGAAGAAAAAAATCCAGCAAGACACTGGGGAAGACTCCAACCTTCTCTGTGGGTGAACTGGGACAAACGAAGACCATCACCAAACCAAGGAGACGGGCTGGTAGGGGCAAGGAAAGCTCACGTACCACAGGGGGTGAGAAGCATTGTCTCTCCAGTCTGGCAGCCCCTGCATGTGTCCAAGTTCACGGGTCTTGGAAAAAGCAGTTAAAAGCAGCTCTGATGTGCACACTGCTGCCCTGCAGTCTATCAGTGGCTGAAACCTCTGCACAAGGCAGCACCACAGAGCAGCAGAGCCAAGTGCAGGGCACATCTCTGCACGCCCTGGCTGCCCACCTGGGCTTAGTCCACGTGTGGACACCAAACCTGCCCAGCAAACATGCAGTAGTCATCTGAGGTAGCCAACAAAGCTTTAGAGAGGTCTTCAACCCCAACCTGGAATTTTCCATGGACTGAATCTCCATCTAAAAGTTATTTCTAGATTCTCTCAGCCATTTCCTGGGTTGTGAATGCATATAAGGCAGAAAGTGACTTCACCAAAACTGGCCACATTTCAGCAGAAAGAGAAAAAGGACTAGGAATCTTGTGTGCTTGCATTTGAAAATAAAATCATTTTCATTTCTGCAAGGTACCTACAACACAAAAGAGTATACAACAATAAGAGTATTTGACTTGTCCTGTGTGATCAGAGTTCATACAAAAATACATAAATGGCTTGCAAGAAATAACAATACAACACAAAAAAACTTGCCAAGAAATAACCAACCTAATTTCTTTAGGTATCTTTCACAGAAGCCAGTTCAAAGTGAGACCTTCACTGGCTCTTACTCTCTTCTTCCCTGAATAAAAGCTTCACAAGGTAAAAAATACTAAATTCATATCTAAGAAGAGGTTCTGAAGTTTTGGGGTTTGGGGTTTTTTTTTTAATTTTTTTAGGGGTTTTTTTTTTTGGTGGGTTGGGTTTTTGTTGTGTGTGTGTTTTTTGTTTTTAATAATAGCAGTGCTCTTCCACTGAGCAGCTTATTACCAAAATTGACTGAGGCTACTCAGTTTGGAAACACCTGGACAGTGAAACCCAGGCCAACCACTTCCACCAACTGAAAAACTTGTACAGCCCAGACAACTACTTTGCTCCCAATTGTTTTCTTCCCCCCCCCTCCTTTTTTTAGCACTTGGTATACAATACAGAATATAAAATAAATAAAATCAAGTGTACAGTACAGGCATCTAATCTGGAATTATTTTCAAGATAATAGCCACTAACTCAAAACAAAACTATTGCCCCACATGCATTTTGAAATAGATGTTTTCAGGTACTTGAGCAATATAATGACTGCAAAGCAAATTTTCATCTGATAGAATCAAATAAATTATAAATAGTAAGAATTTTGATTACTTTCCTTTTTAAAACCATTTAAACTATTGATTACATTATTTCACCAAGACCAAGGTGTTGTTTCAAGCCTGTCACGTTGTTTACTGAAAACAAATAGTTCTGAATAACAGCCTGAGCCCAGCTTCCTCATGCTACAAGACACAATCGGGTCTGT